GGTGGACTGAGCTGGCCACACACACACATAAATAAAAAAATAAAAAATAAAAAATAAAAAAAAAAATAAACTACTATTCCAGCATTAAATTCACATCACATTTCTCAAATTCCAATTAAATCAAAGATTATTTAAGGTTTATTACCCTCAAAACTGTTATTCACTTGTCAGATACTTTCTTCACTGATACTTACCATGGACTGCTTTCCCCATCTGGACACTTTCTGACTTATGAACAGCATCTCAAGATTGGTAACATCCAACCTGGCCTCCAGGAAGTATCTTGTGTAAAGACCCATGTGTATACCATCTATCAAGTCACCCCACAGTGCTGTGTAACAACTGCATGGATTGCTGATACCTCTATAAAAGGAGTAGCAGCAAAATGAGCAGAAAAGCCAGCTGAGGTTCCTTTACCAAACTGGCCCTCACTCACATCACTAAAGGGCACTGTTACATCTGCAGGACATTCCTGTACCTGGGTAAGTCTGGACAGGGTTATGTTTGAAAATATATACTCAGAGGGAAATTGCAAGCTATGCTTTATTAGAATAAACTGAAGGATGAAGATACTTTAATATGCTAAAAGCTGATACTATTATTTATGCTAATAAGAGAAAAATAGTGGACTGATGCAAATTTGCATAAAACCAACTGAAGTATGCAAAAATCTAGGAAGAATATCTCATAAGTTCCTCTGGTTACAAAAATATTCCTTTTGTTATTATGGGTGTCACCTTCAGCGCAAAAGCTGAGTAATTTAAACAAACTGTAAACTATTGAAATCTGAGCTCAGATAAACAAGAATTTTTAACTTTAAATGTAAAAAGGCAGATGTGTATGCTACTGACATGTTTTGAATCAAAGTATCAGATTTTTAGATTTCTTCTTTGCACGTTTTAACATTTTATTTTTACAGAATCATTGAAAAAGATTACCAATTTCCATTTTCTGGTAATTCAGATTCTTCTGTTAACACTATAGAAAAAAAGGAATGGATAAAGATGTGGTATTTTTACACAGTAGAGTATTATTCAGCTATAAAACAGGACAAATATGAGATTTTGTCAGTAAATGGATGCAACTGGAAACAAAAGCAAAATAAATCAGACCCACATGTGCAAAGAGCATATTGTCTTTTTAGTGTGCGAACCTGCAAGAGAAAATGGAATCTGAAGGATACAATAGATACTGGAAAAAGAGAATAAACTTATTCCAAAAGGAAGAGTTACTGAGTTGAGAGGACAGGAGAGGAAATGGGAGAAAGAGATATATCTATGTATGTAAGCAGGATGGTTTGAACAACTGTACTATGGATTTCTGCTCATCTATGGAAAGTAACAGATAATGCTTAATTTGCTTCGTCTCTTTTTTAAATTGTTTCTCCTTTTTTTCAATTTCTTCTATATTTCTTTTTTTCTTCCAATTTTGCATGCAGATATCTGGTAATGTGAATAACTGGTTGGAAGACAACACTGCATTACAACAAATACTGTGAAATGCATATTACTTTGTTAAGTGAAATTCTTTATCACTTGTAATTTTCCTGTTTTAATACTATTTTGTACTCTCTTTAAAAAAAATAAAAATTAAAGAAATACTGCAGAAAAAAGATCTTTACCCTTCAAGGCTGAATTTCTTTAAAAAAATTCTGTCATAACACAAATATCAAAATCAAGCAAGTAATATTCATGGACAGAATACTATATACTCTTACATAGCTATAAATTTTGTTCAAACTTTTCCGTTTTTGTCAATTGTGTCCTTAATAACAAAATTGTAGATGATAACTTGCATTGTTTTCACATCATTTTATACCCCTTTAATGTGAACATTTCCTTAGTCACTGTCTGTGTTTCATGACATTGACATTTTTAAGTATACAATCCAGTTATAGTACAGAGATCCCTTAATCTGGGTTTGTCTGATGGTCCCCAAGATTAGATTCAGGCTGTATTTGTTTGGCAGGAGGACCAGAGAATGAATATTATACTTCTTAGTGCATACTTATCCCCTTACTGGTGATAATGTAAGGTCAAATACATTTCTCCAACTATAAAGTCACTGTTTCCTTTGGTTACTAATAAACAGCTTCTGGAGGATACTTTCAGATTATGCCAATATCCTATTTCCATTAATGTTTTGCCATTAATTTTAACAGATTTTTTTAATTTCCTACTTTCTAGAACTTTCAGTATAGCCTTAAGCTTCTCAGACCTAATCTCTATCTTAATAAATAAATGCTACATTTAGTACCTATTAAGAGCTCAGTACACAGAAAGACCACAAAAGGAAATCAAGCCCGTCTTTTGCCACAAAAGTGGCAACACAACCTGACAGATTTTATGCTTGCAGTTGAGAGCTGTACAGCATTCTGTGTCTCTGGTGCTTAGGAAAGTATGATCCAATACTGATACAGTTTTATGTCAAAATTCCTGCATTTCACAGTTTAAAGACTTACTTGATAAAGTAATATATGTCAATTAACAATAAGCAATAAGCTCTTTTAAATTAGAAAAGACAGTCCCTCTCTCCTAACAAGTGTTCACAGGTGAATTTTTATTCCCCCTCACTGTTTCCTTACCCACCCATACCCTCCTCGAAGCTGTTTTTTCTTCTCCTACTCAAGACTTTATATGCTAATCTGAAAGTGACCTGGTAAAATCTGTTAGAAGGTTGAGATAAATCAGGCTCTTTTAGTGCTGGATTCTATCAAACTGTCCTTACCTGCTGTGGAAAACAGGTGCGGACTGAATGCTCTGTGTAACCAAAAGATGGCCCTTCAAAGACAGCTGTTGGGAGCTTCAGAACTTCCTTCAGGAACTGGTCAAACTTGCTAAATACCATTAAGCCATTGGAATCTGACATCTGCGAGAAAACATCTATGAGAACAAAACCAAATAAAGTCAAATGATAACAAAATATCAGTTTTTTTATAAATGCTTCTATGTTATTTTTAATCAGTAAAAAAGTATCATTAAAAAAATACCATGAAGTTATTATGATGTTTAACTAATATTAAAACTATTCTCCAAAAAGGTCTGGGGAGATAGCTCAGCAGCATAAGCACCTGCTTGGCAAGCACAAGGTCCTGAATTCAATCCCCAGTACCAAAAATAGGACTGTGTGGTTACTTTGCTGATAGGCCTCCATTCACATAATATTACACCTAAATACCAAGTCAAATAACCTTTTTGTTTTTGTTTTTGTTTGTGCATATGCCCATTTACCTACTCTTTCAGTATACATAACTGAATGACAGAACTTTAATTTTATTGATGTATGTTTTGTTGTATTCCAAGAATAATTTGTATCAGCATATCTTTATCCTTTTATATGTTTATGTAACACATATGCATGTCTGAATATATGAATATTTAGCATACTGGTGAAAAGGTATGAAATTATATTCTATTTGTATATTCATGTACTAATGTAACTGTGTATCTGTAAAGGGGTAAATTTGACAGAAGCACAGAAAATGTTTAAGATATTGTATTTACTGAATTCCAAAGTAGAATTAAAAAGAACACACGTAAGCCTTCTTTCCTAAGATACTCTGATACTATACAACTCTATTTTTATATAAAGTCTGGCCAAGCAGATGGAAATTTCCAGTTATACTACTATTCTTTTATCAAAATGCAAAGTTTATGTTGTACTTATTCTTCTCTTTCTTCCACAGTTTGGGAGATGTGAGGGACACAGGACAACCTGACAAAGAAATGTGACCTAAGCATTTCTTCAAGTTATTGAGATTCCTTATAAAACAAAGTAATGAATTAAATATGCATAGAAAATTATTTCTTAAGGCTTTTTCAAAGTTTTTAAAATTCATATTACATATATTTATAATGAATAGGCTTATGAAAAATCTATACAATAAATACACAGAGGGATCTGCAAAGAAGCCAGGAAACAACACTCAAGGTAAGAAACCAGAACTCCCCAAAAAACTACCATGGCCATCCTCAGGAACAATGAGGTCCCAAGCTCCCCCAAAGATGAGGAAAGTCAAGTTCTCATCAGGAAAGCCAGCATGACAAGCTTCTCCAGAAGACTGATTTGTGTATCGTCTTCCCCTCCAGAGCCAGGAAATAATTCTCAAAGTGATGATCAGAGATCCCCCAAAGTGAACTGTAGCCATCATCGGCAACAATGAAGTCCCAAGCTCCTCCTCTGATGAGAACAGCCAAGTTCATCAGGAAAGCCAGCATAACAAGGTCCTCCAGCAGAACAGCCCAAGAGAACCAGGAGCTCCCTAACAGCTTCTCCAAACAGCTTCTTTCCAGCTTCTCTAGTTCTGCCTCTTATGCTGCTAGCAACAATCCTCAAGAGGGCCTCCCCACACACAGCACCACAATAGTTCAGTCCATTTGGGTGTAACAAGTTGACTACCAGTTGGTAATCCACCACAAACAGATAAGCAGAAAGGCAAACTGATGAACTCTTCCAAAAACAGATTTAAAGAAATAGAACCATTTGTGTGAAATATTAATTAAGAAGACAAAAATTTATATGCTAACAGTGAGAAAAACAAATTATCAAGAATGTTTTTAAAAGGCAGGAATGTAGGCCCTGAAAACTGGGATTTAGAATAATGAAGTACAAACAGGATGGGGTAGGAGAGTTACAGCCAGAGAAAAGAGGGATAAAACTCCTTTGGACAGGAATCTATAGTGTGTATCTGTTGTAAGTGGTAAAGAGGGAAACAAGGAATTGAGAACATTCTGACTATGAAATAAAGATGATTATAAGAATATTCTTCTTGTGAAAGAAAACTGACAGACCAAAGCAACTTGGATTTCATTTTAAAACTTCTAAGTAAGGATGAAATGTTTAGAAAGCCAGATTTTAAGAAGATTTGAGCTGGGTACAGAGCTCAGTGGCAAAGAGTTTGTCTAGAATGTACAAGGCTCTGCACTGAATTTCTCAGGCCTGGGGTGGGTGGTTATGATGGTGATTTGATTATTGCTGACTAAAAGAGGAAGAAGAGAATTGGAGAAAATCTTGTCAATAAAGCAAAAATTAGGGAGTCAAAGTCTAGGTCACAGTAGTGACCATACTGGAAGGTGGACTCAAACCCAAGACATTTCAATGCTAGGAATGGAACTGATGGCACACTGGACCAGATATACAAGAATATTAAAAGCTACAACTATTCTAAGTTTCTAGCTTGGGAAAATGCTGATGACCCTAACTGAATCAAAGACCAACACCCTATTAATTTTTAACCTAATTTTATTTATACTATCAGCATATTTTCGAATAGAATCGCCCTGAAGACAGAAAGGCCTGGGCCAGGACTGCAGATAGAAAGTTCTGAAATGTTACCATTAATGGAATAAGTGATGTTCTTCATTTGAGGAAAGAGTATGAAGTCAATTTTAAATAGCTGGCTGCTGTTCTTATAATGCAGAAAATAATTATCCATTAAATCTGATTGTAGGCTAGGGGTGGTGCTACAGATTTACATTCCCAGCACTTGGGGATGAAGCAAAAGAATTTCCGTAAGTCTGAGGCTAGTCTGGACTACTTAGCAAATTCAAGGCCAGCCTGAACTACATAGGGAGACCTTATCTCAAACAAAGAAATCTGAATGGAAATAAGGGTCAACATGGGATGTGGCAGGCATTTCAAGGCCCTCACTGAATACTTATTTCTTCTTATGCTAACTGAACCTTGAATGTGTTTAAAATGGCAGAGAAGCCCACTCATAAAAAATGACTTTCAGTCTTCTTTTGCACACTGTTACTCAAGTAGATTTCTGAATAACCTTTTACTTTCCTAATACAGGTGTCACTTCCTTCTGCCTGGAATGCCTACGTGAGGCCTGGAATGACTTTATTACCCTAAGGAAGAAAGCCTTGTAACATAGCAGGAAGATAGGAACACCCTACCTTTCATCTTTCATCTTTCAACATCCTTAGGGCATAAGAAAAAATAAATTCCAACATATTTTAACTATTGTCAGTTTTCTGTTGCTAATCAAAACTAAAAAGTAATTAATTTCTGTCCACTAGTGGTACTAATTTTTAGGATCACAGACTATAGCCGTCAAGAATGTAAATATAGGGCTGAGGAGATGTCTCCGTGGCATAATCACCTTCCTGGCAAGCACAAGGTCTTGAGTTCGATCCTCAGTACCAAAAACAAACAAAAAAAAAAAAAGAATGTAAATATACATATGTACAACAATCACAAACATATGTATAGACCCCTATTAACAAATCTACATCTTACTTCTTAGAGTAAAAAAGGAATTATCTGAACAGTAATATGACTAACCACACCCTCAAAAAAGTATTATTTTCAATTATATTTAGTTAAGGCAGCCAGATAGCTCAGTGGATTGAAGTGCCTGCTTAGACAGACACAGGGACTAGGGTTCAATTCCAAGACTACCATGCCAGCCCAGCCCCGGGGTACACTTAGTGATTGAGACTGGGCATGATGGCACGCACTTGTAATCCCAATGCTTGGGAGGCTGAAAACAGGAGAATCACTACAAGTCCAATCTGTGTAGTGAGACTCTGTAGACCATGTAATAAATACATTCAAAAAAATTTAAAATCAATTATATGTAGTTATAGGAATAGATTTTAAGTAGTAAAATTTTAATTCATGAAAAAGGAACCATAATATAGTAAGTCCATATCATAAGAGAATAAAGAGCATATTTACTTAATAAAAAAAAAATAACTGCTAGGTCCAGAAAATTCAAGGTATAATGAAAAAACATTACTTCCTAAGTTACTAGTTTAACATAATTTTTTTTAGGATAAGTTTCTCTCTGCAAGAAAAATGGTGCAAAATGATTGCTTATCCTTAAATCTTAAATGGAACAAAATAATGAATCTAGGTGGTACATAATATATACATGTAAGGTCTTAGCAAAGAAGTAAATGAAATAATAAAATTTAATAAAACATTTTTAAAAATTAAACTAGCACTGAAGGTATAGCTCAGTGGTAGAGGCAGCTTAGCATATACAAGGCTTCGGGTTTGATCTCCAACTCATCTCACCACCCCCAATACTCTTCTAATTACAGCCATACACCAATGATGGGGAACTTCTCAGTGATAAAAACAGCCTGCTGCAGCATGTGTGGCATAGGTTCCCTACCACTGCCCTACACCTTTCTGGCATTAAAGGACTAAATTACTTTCCAGACCAGTGGTTATGTCTCCCCTGAATTCTCTTATTTATATACTTCTCAAAGAAGGTAGATCAATTCCCTAATGGTTATTTCCAGTTTTTAAAAAAGTAGGCTTTCAAAATAAATGAATGAATAAATAAATAAATAAATAAATAAATAGCAGGCTTTCTCCCTTGTGAAAAATCAACAATTAAGCACTTAAGTGTATATGTGTGATTTTTAAAGTATTCTATTTGGGAAATGGGCAAAACAATGGTAATTTCCTGGTAATAATAATCTCTGTTTTACTGGCTGCATCTACCCATGTACTTCTCTTTTACCTCCACATGATCAATCCCATGTGTCTGCAAGGTGATAGGGCTATTCAGACTCAACAGTCATGTCTATAGGAGGAAAACAGCTACCTTTTATGTTTGCTTTCCCCAGCAAATGACTCATCTCCTGTCATCTTTCAACCAAGTAAGCAACTTAATCCAGAAAAACGGCACACCTCTGAATGTCTGTAATACCTATAAACAACTAAATCCAAGTATATATGTTATTCTCACACTCAGTTAAAATTCTATGTCTGCCCTGCCAGCCCCGCCCCCCATGCACGCTAGATGGGTGGAGACCAAGTGTGGTGGCACACTCTGGGGAGGCTAAAAACAGGAGGATCACTACCAGTCCAAGGTGCATAGTGAGACCCTGTACCAAATACACTAAAAATAAAAAAGAAAAAG